TAATCCAGAATCTCTGACTGAGAAGGACTGATAGGGCGTCCATCTGGTGTCCATCTGGTGTCCCCCCGCCGGCTGTTTTTGAAGTTGCTCAGCCAACTTCTCTGAACTCAGTCTGCTTTTACTTGAGGTGTGCTGGGCGGATAAATCAGGGTCCCTGTGCTGATTGAAACCAGTTTCCAGCCAGTCCTGGGTGGGCCCTGGATGAAGCAAGTGGTTAAACACTAACTACTAAAAATAGTAATACTAACCCAAAGGTTTGGGCTTCTGGTGTGATGCTGGCAGATCAGCACTGGACTATGAACCACAAGGTCAACAGTTCAAACCCACCAGCTGCTCCTAGGAAACCCTATACAGTGTTGCTATGAGTCCGAACCGACTCAATGACACTTAACAACCCAAAGGTTAAGGAGTTCTGGTAGCATAGTGGGTTTTGAGTTGGGCTGCTAACGCATTCAAATCTGCTAGCTGCCCAGAGGGAGAGGCATTTTCTGCTCCCATAAAGATTTATAGCCTTGGGAACCCTATACAATCAACTATGAGTCCGTAATCAACTCCATAGCACTTAACCAACACAAAATAAATGTAAATTTAATTGGGTTGATTAACCAAAAAATAAATATATTCGGGTTGACTAATCAGCCCAAAAGTTGACAGTTAAAACCCAACAGAGATGCCTTGGAAGAAAGACCTGGCGATCAGCTTCAGAAAGATTACAACCTTGAAAACCTTAAGGAGCAGTTCTTTGCACACATGGGATTGTCATGAGTCAGAATAAACTCTAGGGCAATTAACAACAATAACAACAAATGTCTGGAGCAGTGCCTGAGGATGAAGGAGGGGGGTGTTGAAGGCAGACCTTTCAGGACAATCACTGCAGTCTCCATTCTTTTCCACCTGAAATACCATTCTGCACGCTTGTTTAAACAACAACAAAGAATATGAAAGAAAAGAGAAAGCAAAAAAATTAGTTTTGAGCTTCTGAAGAAATAAGGTTGCTTTACTCTGCTTCCATTCGTGGGATTTTTACCATTTGCATATACATATTCTCTAGCTTTGTCTAATTTTTTTGTCTCTGAATCCAGTTAAGACTGACCATCACATAAATAACCTCTATATTGGCCAGTTGGTTCTAAGACTGTTTAATAAGCACTTATGATAGGCCTCTTAACCAAACCGTCATGGTTTGGTTCATACCAGTTCATACCAGTGCTGCGGGGTAATGTCAAAAGATGTTGGCATATTCTCCTGGAGAAGCTAGGGGCTGGCAGTTTTTAAAATGCATCTTCAATAAGGTGGTTAAACTTCATGGCAAAGCTAACGTTTGCAGCAAATTTAGCCATCAGTCATAATAAATGAGATGCCTTGCTTCCTGGACAACTTGGTACAGTGTGCTGAATAAATTAATGGTGGTTGGTTCATTTACTTTGTTCCTGTGGATTAATGTTACACAGTGTGTGGCTAGTTTGTTTAAAATTTAATTTTCACTCTATCAAAATGGAAAGGGCTTAATGTGACCACAGATCATCAACATGCTTTAAGAGCTTCATTGCTATTATTATTAGCTGCTTCATTATTATGTTAGTTGTATGTATTAGTAATTTTTAGTTTTAAGTCCCATAAATAAAGTCTCTTTAAATGCTGGTTAAAATGTCATGCCTTTTTGAAGAGACAATAAAATGTTCTTGAGTGAAAATCTTTATGGTTGAATAACTTTCTTATTTAGATTTTTATCTAAGCTTTATTTGACAGGCATTTTAGCACACGCAAGTAAAGCCACACTTTGAGGAGTTCTTACCATACCTAATTCTTTCATTTTGAAGATACTGTTGAATATAGTATATGAAGCCCTGGTGGCACAGTTATTAAAGCACTAAGCTGGTTACTGAAGGTCAGCAGCAGTTCAAACCCACTAGCTGCTCAGCAAGAGAAAGATGTGGCAATTTGCTTCATAAACATTTATAGTCTTAGAGACCCTATGGGGTAGTTTGAGTCAACATTGACTAGATGACCATGTGTTTGGTTTTTGGTTGTGGTGTATGGCATATGTTTTTTACAATATCCTTATTAATCTGCTCAGTAATCAAAAGTTTAAAACTTTCTCTACAGCTAGTTTTTATAGCCAATATCTATTGCTTGGAGATGTTGGGTTTGCAAAGAATGTTTGAATCTGAATCAAAAGTAGGATTCTAGGGTTGGAATGTAGTATGGCACCTAGTCAGATATGAATATGTTGTTGTTGTAAAGTGTCATCGAGTCAGCTGTGACTCATAGCAACCCTGTATAGGGCTTCTGAGGAGCAGTTAGTGAGTTTGAACTGCCAGTCTTGTGATTGAAACAGATCTTATGGTTGAGTGCTTATCCTGCAGCATCCTACCAGGACTCCCTGTACTAATACAGGTTAAACATTTCCTTTTTTATCTCTGAATGCAAAATATAAACGTATCAGTATGGAATCCCTAGTGGTCTGGGGTACTTTATTTTTTAATAGATTCCATATTTGCCTGAGAGAAAAATCCAAGATATGGTCCCAGTGTCTGGAATGACTTTTTTGTAATGTTGGAAGATATGACAACAAAATCAGCTGCACCCTTTTCAAAGAGATAAAAGAAATGATAGATGAGAAGTACTTTGAAAAGTAAAATGTGCTACATATAATTAAGGCCTTTAATAAAGTAAATATGAGTGACTTACCTGGCTGATATTTGTTCTTAAATTGTGAGTCTTCATTCTCCTTTGTAAGTTCTGGAAAGCTCACACTACTGCTATGATCTTCCTGGGTCACTCAGGTCTCCTCGGGGTTTAGAGTAAGTGAGGCTGCCTCCTTCGCTCTAGAACCTGTACAAGGACTTTATTTGTCTTTTTTTTTAATCCACTCTTGTTGCAGACCATGCAGAGGTTCGAGGCCCTATAGGCCTGAGTGTAACAGATCTAGCCACATGGCAGTTAATAGCAAATTGCTTTTCATCTTAGTGTTCAGTTATATTTATTTAATTCCAAACATGAGCCCTGGATGTCCACAGAGAAATGCAATATTCCCCTAAGTTTCTAAGGTCAAGATTTTCCCCCTAGAACCAAGGCAGTAAAACTTCCTCAGAGGACGAACAAGGACAGGTTTACCGGGATTAAGCAGGGAGGCTCTGGAGAGGAACTGCCCGGGGTATATTCACTTGGGGTGGAGTGGTAAATTCTGGGAATATGGGATTAAGGACAATGGGGGCAACTCCCTCGGACCATCCTGGGTTCAATCAGTTTGATCCAAGTGAAGGTTAAACCCAGTAAGGAAGAAAGGAATATTGGTTTAAGTAAGGTTTACTGGCTTAATTTATCTTAAAGATTGTCTTGTCTGAATAATACCATTCTTCTTCTGTAAAGATCCCTCCCTGAAAGAGAGGAAATAAAAGACGGATGCAGACTTAAGTCTGCGGGCATTATTGCTTGCGGGGCATTATTGCTTGCAGGGTATGAAGAGGCTGTCTGCCGGTTTTGCATCTACTCTGGTCTCCGAGTGTTTCTTTTCTCTCTCGCCTCTCCAGACATCCCACCTAGAGTTAGTCCGAGAAGGGAAAATGTCAGCCACTGAGCAGTCTGTCTGGCAGCTTGCATCAAGCCTGGGTGTCTATCTTCTTTGTATCTGTTTTTTCTGTCTTCTTTGTGTCTGTTTTCTCTCTCTCTCTGTCTCGCCATCGTCACCGGACACCCCATCTTCGGGTACCCACCCCCTTGCTGAGGCCAGACCCTGGCACACTCTAAAATCTTATGAGAGTAGGTATTGTTACTCCCATTCTATAGATGAGGATTCTGAGGTTCAGATAGGCTAAGTGGCTTAGTTAAGGCCAAAAAGTAGAACCAGGATTTGAAACTAAAAAATATCTTGGTTCTCTACATCATACCTGTTTTGTTGTTCATGTTATTTTGTAGATTCTGACTCATAGCCACCCTATGTACAACAACAGAGCAAAACACTACTGGGGCATCCTCACATAATTGTTCCTATGATTGTAGGCACTGTGTCAGTCTATCTCACTGAGGTCTTCTTTTCTTCAGGGAATGGTCCCTCCTGATAGCATGTCAAAAGTCTGTGAGATGAAGTCTCACCTTCCCCACTTCTAAGGAGTACTCTGGCTATACTTGTTCCAAGACAGATTTGTTCTTTCTTCTAGTAGTCTGTCCATGGTATATTCCATATTCTTGACCAACAACATAATTCAAAGATATCAATACTTCTTCAGTCTTCCTTATTCATTGTCCAACTTTCACATGCATATGAGGGGATTGGTTCAGGTGTACCTTATACCTCAAAGCACCATACCTGGCTACCTTTAACTCAATAGTTTCAACCTTTTTTTTGATAATCTAAAGAACCTTTTTTAGTCTTTCCCCAGGAAAGATGCCCATATCCACATATCCATAACATTTTGCGTATAATTTCAGGGCCCAACCCTTTCAAGTTCTTTAATTTTATCTATTACTAAATGAAGGAGCACTGGTAATCAGTGAGTTACAAACTGGACTGCTAACTGCAAGGCCAGCAGTTTGAATCTGTCTGTCATGCCACGGCAGAACGATGAGGCTTTTGGTTTCCATAAAGATTTACAGCCTCAGAAATGCTATATATATAGTGTCGCTATGAAACAGAACTGACTCAACACACACCACCACTACCACCTACTGAATGAAATGAAAACAAAAGCAAAAGCAAGAAACACGTAATGCTATATATATAAATTCACACACATGCATATAACCTTTTACTGATGGTAACAGCCCTTGAATTTCATGCCTTTCATCTCAGTGAATGTTCACTTTATAACAGAAACAAGCATAAAAATGGTATCCTGTATTTTAATTTATTTTGAAAGCTTCTAAAGTTCAGTTTAGAAAAATGATGTTTGCTTGAAATGAAATATTTTGTTCATGTGGGTCTCTTAAATTGTCCCATAGTAACAAAGACTATGACTGTGTCTCTACTCACTAAATTAAAACTGTTTTTATCCCTCTTTAGAGATGGCAAATCCTGAGGTAGTTGTAAGTAGCTGCAACTCTCACATAGAGGAAAATCCCTGCAGTTTTAATCAGCATACATCTGTCTCTGAGGAGCTTCTATTAGAAGACCAAATGAGGCGAAAACTCAAATTTTTTTTCATGAATCCTTGTGAGAAGTTCTGGGCTCGAGGAAGAAAACCATGGAAACTTGCCATACAAATTCTGAAAATTGTAATGGTGACTATTCAGGTGAGCATCTCAGTTATAAAATTGGTGAAGCACTCTTAATGACAAAGTCAATGTATGGATGGTGGTTTTTGTAAGCTTTAACTGCATATATAACAATGAACAATAAATAAGGAAACATATATTCACTTAAACCATATTCTCTTCACTGGTTGTGAAAGAAGACTTCATTTTTTTCTTCCATCTTTCACTAAGTTATAATTTTAGACACAATCTAATTAGTTTTCAGGGAAAGGAAATTTTAATATTTTGCTTCCAATCAAGAGAGTTAGTCATCCATGGGAACTAATTGTTGGTCATATAGAAGACCTTCTTTTCTTCCCAGTTATTTTGCTTGGAATCTTTCTCTTTAAGACTACTTAGATCCTTACAGTCCTGTGATCATAGGAGCTGTAATAATGTAGAATGCAAAGTTAATTAAGAAAAAGTATAGCATTCGTTTGTAAAATAGGGGACTTCATTTTATTTATATTTTTAAGCTTTTAAATTATGGTTTGGGTAAAAGTTTACAGTGCAAATTGATTTTTCATTTAATAATTCATACACATTTTATTTTCTGACACTGATTATAATTCCCACAATGTAACAGCACTCTTCCTATTCCTTTCCTGTGGTCATCCTTCTTTCCTACCCTTTCTTCCTTCTAAGTTTTATCCCTGGAAAAATACTGCCCTTTTGATTCCATTAGGTTGATTATTCTATGAAGTGTGTGCCTTCCTGAAGTTATTGTTTAACATATAGGCTTGTCTGTTGTTTGACTAAAAGAGTGACAGGGGTGAGTTCAGTTCCAGACTTGAAGGCTGTCTAGGGGCCATAGTCTCAGGGGTTCCACTAGTCTGTATCACATCACAAAGCTTAGTTGTTTTGATGAGTTTGAGTTTTGTTCCACATTTATCTCCCAGTTTTTCCAGTAGTTCCTGTTGTGATCCCTTCTGGACATCCTGAGTAGTCAGCAGTTGTAGCTGGGCACCGTCTAGTTCTTCTGGTCCCAGATTGTGAAGGCTGGAGTTCACATGGTCCTTTAGACTAATTGTTTCCTTGATTTTCTTCACTCTTATTTGCTCTGGTCAGGGCAAGACCAATAATTGCACCTTCAGTGGCTACGCACAAGCTTTTAAGATCCCAGTCACTGTTCACTAAAGTACGATGTAGAACATTACCTTTGTAGGCTCTATCTTTACATATACTGTATATATATATATATCCCAGCATATGTAAGATATGTACCAGTGATATACATACATATACACTTGTATAATATACATCAGTATATGTAAAAATATGTAAGAATTCTTACCAGTATAATGTAAGAATCACAAAATATGGCTTCCTAGATGTGGTGCTGTAGGATAAGCACTGGAAACCCTATACAGGGTCGTTATTAGTTGGAACTGACTTAACAATAACAGGAACAAAGATATTCAGAGAATCCAAGAAAATGGTATTCAAAATTTCCCTTTGAACTCCTATTTCCTAATAGTAGGGGACTTCATTTTAGTTCAGAGGGAAATCTTGAACAGCATTTCCTTGGCTTCTATAAACATCTTTTTGTGAAACCATATGTTGTGCTTCTTACAGATACTGTTGTGTATCATACGAGTATACATGTATATAAATATCACTGCTATATATCATTATATATAATAAAAACAACTGGTATTGAAGGAGACATTTTTATAAAAACCATGAAAACACTAAACTTTTTATTAAGAACAAATGCTTATGAGTGATATATACAAATGCTTATGATTGACTTCTACGATCACATGACGTTAATAGGATTCTTGATTAAGGTCATAATGTTGGATGTATAATGAGAAATGAACATCTGGATGACTACTTTGTTTCATATTTTATTTCATTCTAACAGTACTCATATTGGGTAAATGTTAACATGTCTCCCACAGGACTAGTGGGTGGTACAATCAAGATTGTAGAAGCAGACACACACTTTCTAATGCATTTATAATGAAGGTGGTTGTTCAATTCTTAGTACAGTATTTGGAAGCTGGGAAATAATTTAACACTGGTGTCAGTATAGTGCCTGACAATAATGAAAAGTTTATTGTGTCTCATAAAGAGAAACAGTCTGTGTCAGATGAAAATGAACATTTTTGACTTACAATAACAATAGATTCCACTTGAGTATTTACTGTGTACTGGGCTAAACATTTTTCAGGCATCGCTATTTTCCGTTTTTAAAGTGAATTTTAGGTAGATAGTGGTATTTCCATTTTCTAGATGGCAATACTGAGGTAAAATAACCTGTCAAAGGAAATGAAAAGAGGAGACTGAGAATTCAAACTCTCCAAAACACATCCTCTTAATCGTTCCTTAATTTTTAGGGAGGTAAAATTGTGTTTCCAAGGGTAGTAGTGTAGTGGCTTACATGTTAGGCTGCTAACTGTAAGGTCAGCCGTTCGAATCCACCAGCTGCTCCGAGGGAAAAAGATGAGGCTTTTTGCTCTCATACAAATTTATAACTGACTCAATGGCACAGAGCAGTAGTGGGATGGAAGAGGAAAACAGGCCACTGGTTTAAGATGTTAAGCTTGTTAGTAATAAGTATGTAAAAGGCATTTGTTAAGTGTTATTGGGTAGGTACCAACTCATAGTAACCCTTGATAGGGTCTCCAAGGAGCAGCTGGTGGAATTGAACCACCAATCTTATGATTAACTTGTCACAGGATTATGATTAGAAATCTGGCATATAACCTACAGCACATTTAAGTAAGTCTTAAAAAGAAACTGAGGATTTTAAATTGTGATATATCCTTTATGCAGATCTGAACAGTTAAACAAACATTACATAAAGTTGTTTGAACTGTAAGGTCAGAGGTTAAAGCTCACCAACTGCTCCTTGGAAACCCTATGCAGGGTCACTATGGGTCAGAAGCAACTCGATGGCACTTAACAACAACAACAACAGCATCAACGCAACTTTGTAATTGAGCAAATGAGGTTGACAACATGTTGACAGTTTCCCTCTGTTGAGGAAAGGAGGTTGTTTTTCTGTTAAGTTGGAGATTTTGTGTTTGCAACAACACATGGAAGATGTATGTCTGCAGTGATGGATTCCCTTTTCCCATTACCTAGCTCTGTCTTTGAATTTCAGCAGCTGTCTCTGCCAGTGTTGTTCCTGTCTTCTACTAGGCCCTAGAGACCAGGAACCATTGCTTTTTGCTATATCCTTAGCACTTAGCTCAGTGAGTGGCATAGAGAAGATGTTCCTATATTTGAAAGAACTGGTTAAAAAAAAGATATTTGAAGATTTTTTTGGTCATCTGCTTTAATTGATATAAAATCTCTGGAATATCAAGCTATCATTTTATGGGGACTTAAATGAAGACACTCGGCTTAAAGAAGGCCTTCAGACATAGAGAGGATGGTGTGTGTGGAGTGCAGACCGTCACAAGGGGAGGTGAGAGGGAAAAGATTTATCTACTTAGTTTTTTTCTGAGCAGGTCCTGGATCACTTTGTGTAGTGTAATGGGTGAACAGAGCTTAGGTTAAACCTTAGATTTAGGTTCAAATTTTGACTATATAGTTCCTAGTCCTGGTGTAGCACTGTAGAAAAAACTGGATTGCTGACTGAAAGGTCAGTGGTTCAAGCCCATCAGCTGCTCCTTGGAAACCATAAACAGAGTCACTATGAGTCATAACTGACTCGATAGCACTCAACAATAACAACAACAATAAAAGTAATGTAGCTTAAGAAATTATTTAACTTCTGTGTACGTTTATGTACTCACCCATAAAATGGGTACATTAAGACCTATCTTGTGAGAGTATTATGAAGTAAGTTCCAGGTATAGTGTATTGTACACTCTTCCTCACCTCTGGGATCTAAATTAGAGTATACTTTTTAAACTTACCATGACAGAGAAAGAGATGATTGGGGAGAGAAGAGAAGGTGAGAAACTCAGAATATAGTAAGTTTTGGGGTAAAATTGAAAGGACTTACATTAATATGACATCAGTGCGGTTAAAACTTTTTTTTATGTGAACAATTGAATTTCATGTAAAACTCAGGAATCAATCCTGCACAAGTATTAAGTAGATACAGTTGCTCCTTGTAAACCCTCTACAGGGTCACTATGGGTCGGAACCGACTCAACAGTACTTAACAGCAACAACAAATGTTAATGTATTTGAATTCAGAAATGTGAAAGGGTATTTGCTATTTTTAACCTTATTGTCACCATTTTGGTAATTACATTTAGGAATGTAGCTGATCATAAGACTTGGACTTAAGATATTTCTTATAGTGTATTTATCCATCTTCTTAAAAACCTTTTTTGATATGTTTCTATTAAACTCTTCTACTTGCCATCCAAGCCCCTGTGCCATTTGCTTCCATTTTCCTTCTCGTATGTATTTTTTTCTCACTGTTTTCCTGAGTGAATTGTGTTGGTATCCTCAGTGTTCTCTGTAATATGCTAACTTCCGCTTGGCTCTTTCAGCCTTTCCCCTGGGTTCCTTAAATCCCACACAGTTTATATTATTCTTCTTTCCTTAAGGAACACTTCCCATCCACTTAGCTAAAGTTATCTTGATTTTTTGAATTCCTAAACAACTGAATGATGTACTTTTGAAGTGGAGACTATGGCTTAAATGAGATGACGCATTAAAGTGAATGTTGACAATGTGCACTTATTTTATTTCTAATTTTAATACTAGAAACTTACCTTATCTTTAAGGACAAGTGAATCAATATCTGTCAAAAGGTTAATTTGTTTTGAGTATTGTTGTTGTTAAGTGCTGTCAAGTCAGTTCTGACTCATAGCGACCCTGTATAAGGTTTCCAAGGAGTAACTAGTGGGCTTGACCTGCCAACCCTCTGGTTCAGTCCAGTGCTAATCCTACAGCACCACACCAGGAGTCCTGTATTGAATGTTGTTGTTGTTGTTAGGTGCCATCAAGTCAGTACCTACTCATAGCGACCCTGTGCACAACAGTATGATACACTGCCCGGTCCTGGGCCAACCTCACAATTGTTGCCATGCTTGAACCAGTTGATGCTGCCGCTTTGCCAGTCCATCTCTTTGGGGGTCTTCCTCTTTTTCTTTGACCCTCCACCTTACCAAACATGACATCCTTCTCCAGGGACTGGTCCCTCTTGAAATATGTCTGAAGTATGAGAGACGAAGTTTGGCCATCCTGGCCTCCAAGGAACTCTGGCTGCACTTCTTCCAACACAGATCTGTTTGTTCTTTTGGCAGCCCATGGTACTTTCAATGTTCTCCTCCAACACCATAACTCAAAAGCATCAATTCTTCCATGGTCTTTCTTATTCACTGTCCAGCTTTCGCATGCATATGGGGTATTGAAAATACCATAGCTTGGGTCAGGTGCACCTTAGTCCTCAAGTTGACATCTTTGCTCTTCTGTATTGAATGTACACATTATTAATTACACATTGAATCTTGAATAGATAAAAGGGTCATTATTTATGCAGACCTTTTGCTTCACTGATTTTTCATCCTTTTCTTTTTTCTCTTAAGCTGGTCTTGTTTGGGTTAAGCAACCAAATGGTGGTGACATTCAAGGAAGAAAACACTATAGCATTCAAACACCTCTTCCTAAAAGGCTATATGGACCGAATGGATGACACATACGCAGTATACACGCAAAGAGATGTGTACGATCAGATCATCTTTGCAGTGAATCAGGTAAATCAGGAGTGTGCATTCTTTACTTTGGAGAAGGAACAGTTGAAGAAAATGCAAGGTACATAAAACTAGCAAGCTGGTATGTGAATGACTTATTAAAAAACCATGAAATTAAAAAAATATATTACCAACAAACTTTCACAAAACTAGAAATTGAGAAAAGCTTTTGAGACAGACAGAAACTTTGAAGACTTAATTAAACGGATCAAAGGTAGGGGTTGGCATAGGAGCCTCAAAGATTTAAAATCACCAACTATTACCCTGATAATAAGTAGTTATTACGTTTCTTTCAGGATTTCTAATAAGAGTATTAACTTTGTAGAGTGTATATAGCAATCAAGACCTGAAAATTCATTTTAAAACTAAGACCTTGTTAGAGTCTTAGTTTGGGCGCTGCAGTATAAACACTGGACTGCTAGCTGCAAGGTCAGAGGTTCAAGCCCACCAGCCCCACCTTGGAAATGCTTTATATGGTGATTGTGAGTCAGAACCAACTCAGTGTCACAAGACCTTTATGTCATACGCGACAAAGATTTTATTGTAACAATGTTTCATATAAGAGTACAATAAAACCTGAGAAAGCTGGAACCTTTGTAAGGCAGAAACCTGTCAGAGAAGGAAAACTCAAATATTTTCCACTAATTGAGAATGACAGAAAAGTAGTAAGGCTGTACCCAAATCAAGGAAGAAACCATGCAAGATCCAGAAAAGACAAGTCGGACATGTGGAGTTCTGATTCTCACAGTTTCCCTGTCCTTAGCACATGACCAAGTATATAGGATGTTTCTGCTTGAATGTGTCCTCACTGAGCAGAGTAGCATGCTACCCACTCTGCATATCAACAGGAGTGCCTTGGGGGCTCTGTAGGATGACCACTGGACCACTGCAAAGTCAGCAGTTCAAACACACCGGTCAGGAGAAAGATCAGGCTTTCTGTTCCAATAAGGATTCACAGCCTCGGAAATCCTATACAAGGTCACTATGAGCCCAAACTGACTCGGTGGCTGTGGGTGGTAGGTGGTCTTCATGCAGAGTGGAGGCATGAACTTGCCCATTTCAGAGATGGGGAGGGGGTGAGGGGAGAGGAGGGGAATTACAGCTTCACTTTGGTCCTTTGGTCCTGGCTGGTGTTCCCATTTTCTGTTTTTCTTTTTGCCTGAAGTACTTGCAGCTCTGCAGCATCTCCGTTGGGAATCATGCTTATGAGAATAAGGGTACTGAGCAATCTGCTATGGCAATCTGTCAGCACTTCTACAAGCAAGGAAACATCTGTCCTGGAAATGACACCTTTGATATTGATCCAGAAATCGAAACTGGTGATGTTCTTCTATAACCTCGAACTTCAGTTTTTACCTTCTTGATTTATACTTAAAATGAGTAATTTCTTCTCTAAAGACTTGATCTGTGCTATTAAGGTATAGTAAGACCTATGTAGGAGTTATATATCAGGCACTGTTCTAAGCTCTTTAACTCGTGGATCCTCATAAAAGCACAAGGAAAGCTTTATTATTATCATCCCCATTTTATAGAAGACTAAAGTGTGTCGGTGGTTCAAGCTCACCAGTCGCTCCTTGGAAACCTTATACAGGGTCGCTATGGGTCAGAACTGACTTGACGGCACTTAACAGCAACAGCAAAGTGTGTCTCAGAATGTTAAGTGGTCTGCTCAATGTAAAGCTAGTAAGAGGTAGCATTGGAATTTGGCCCACGCTCTCTGGCTCCAGAATCTGCTCTTTTAAACACCACATTCCACCGCCTCTCATGCTAGATAAGCTAAATAGACTCTGGCTTGCAAATTCTTATTATATATAAAACTCAAATCCCATTTAGCTTTGTAGTACTTGTATCTTTGGGGGGTAGGGTGAGGAAGGAATGACAACTAGAACCTAGAATAGCCTAGTTTGTTTAAGTGTTTGTTTTCCTTGGTTAGAAAAAGTCTGATTTGTCATTTTTACCTTAAACATTAGTTTAGAGTCCTAAAGTTTAATGTTTAAATACAGAAATGGAGTTACTTGTGTCTGAAAAAAACAAATGATTCTCTGTAACTAATGGTATTGATGTCTAGTTTTTAAAATCTTATTTTAGAAAAAATACTAGAATTGGAATAGCTTATCTTCTCAAAATACAGTTTTATTTATTTCTTTTAGGCACTATATCATGTTCCCCTTTCCTCCCCCATTTCTGTGGCAGAATGCTTCTTTGTCGAGCCAGATGAGCCTTTTCACATTGGAACACTAGAAGAAAATAAACTCAACTTAACCCTGGACTTCCACAGGTGAGGGGAGCAGATAAGAGTGGAACTTGATTGTATGTCTTCCCAACGTACTGAAGTCTCCTCTGTTTTCTAGACTCTTAACAGTGGACCTTCAGTTTAAACTAAAGGCAATTAATCTGCAGACAGTCCGTCACCACGAACTCCCTGACTGTTACGACTTTACTTTGACTGTAAGTATGGGCTGAGCTGAATTTGGCTCCAGTCTGGGTGAAAATTGTCTTACCTATTTATGTGTTTTGTACACTTGTATATAGAATGTTTCCAATTGAATGTGCTTAGGGGAAACATTGATACAGCTAGCTTTATCTTGCTATAACTTGTTTACTCATCTCCTGTCTGCATCTCAGTGTAAGTTCTTGTTTTGTTTGCTTCTGTATCTTCAGTACCAAGAACAGTGCCTAACACAGAGTAGGTGTTCAAATACAAAAGAAACAGTGTTGTCTGTTGTATATGGCTGGTTCTTAGCAGTCTGTGTCTGCTGAAGATCATTGCCAAGGTCCTTGTATCTGAGCCTCGGGTATTGATTGCACTGCCATCCTTGTTTCTCCTCTCCAGCTCAGCGTATTACTTCTATGCTATTTATATTCCAGTTGAAAACAGAGCTATGTCTGAATGCTCTCTGGAGAGCACAAGATGGCTCTCATGTACGTTCATGGTCTCAAGAAGATCATAGTAACCCAATGCTGTTTGGTTATATGCAGGACAGCATTTGATACAATTTGCCCTCATATTCTCCAGCTTATTATTACCTCTTTAGTAGTACTTTGTATAAAAAGTTATGTTCATTAAATAACTAATTGGCTGTAAAAATCAAGTTTTCAGAGATACAAATTTTAAAATTCAGAATATAATAGAATAACTATTGATAGAATTTGGAGTCCTAGTGTGGTGCTGTAGGATATAGCAATGAACTGAAAGGTCAGTTTGAACCACTAGGTCAGTGGTTCAAACTCACTAGCTGCTCCTTGGAAACCCCTATACATGAGTCAGAACTGATGATGCCACTAACAACAACATTTATAGAATTTAATAGGAAAAAACAATAACACTGAAATTCGAAAACTATTTCAAATTAAATTATAAATTTTGATCCTATTATTGATCAACAGATTAAGAACTGTTTTTTTGATTTTTTAAAACATTGAGTTATCACCTATAGTCTCGTATCTTTTTGTACCTATTTTCTCTCTTACTCTTGATTTTTAGAAATGTTACTTTGGGAAATTTTTATCATCCTTCAAAGCTTAGCTCAACTTTATGAACCGTTCTGTGATTCCTAAGTTAGAAATGCATTCTATGTTCTGCCCTCACAGTTCTTTCTGTCTTTTTTTTTTTTTTTAAATGGTCATATCACTTTCTCCTTTGTTTTAGAATTTTCTATGTATCTATCAACTCAGCTAGATTGGAAACTACTTAAAGGCAGGATCTACTTCATTAATCTTTTTATCCCTCAAAGAATTGCTAATCACATACACTTTGTTTTATTTTCAGCATTATTTCTAAACTCATTTCAAGCTGCTCCTCTGCACTGTGAACTTAGAAGTGGATCTCATCAGAACTTACATAGTACAAGGTGGTTTAATAGCAGAACCAGCAGAGCAACTTCGTTGTCATAAGTAGACATCACTGAGGTAGAATACGTCTGATATAAAACACAAGGGGGGCTTTAAAAGTTCATGGGAAAGTGGAATTAAGATAATGGAATTTTCCCATGATTGTCTTGAAGCCTCCATGTGCATGAGCTTTGAAATCAGACTAATGAAATCTGGCCTTGAATCAGGTCACCAGTTAGTACCTATGCAATGTTAGGCAAATTATTTAATTGGTTCAAGTCTCAGTTTTTTACGTGTCTCGCTAGATCCTCCCATGTGGATATTGCAGTAGTAATTGTAATATACATCCACTCCTTACTTATCGAAATGGTTAGGTTTCCAAAGACAAGGTTGTTATGAGAATATTAGTATGATGTGAAAATAGAGGATGGCCACATCAGATCACAAAATGGAGGATGACTATTTTATTACATAGCTGTCAAATTACATCATCGCATGCTTCTAGAAAGCTGTTGAGAATCATGCCCTGCCAAACTGACACAAAACCTTAACCATCACAGTTAGCATTACTTTCGCCTCACACCGTGGCATTTACTACTGCCAGGTGTACACCGTTAGTGCTCAAAATATTCAGATTTTTTTTACTATTGTTGTAAACGCAAACTGTCAGATAAGTAAGGAGCAGATGTCCTTCTGTTAAAAAAGTACTTCTCCCCCACGTTTGATTTAATCTTTCCAATACCTTCAGAGGTAGATGACGGTGGTGGGGTGTCATTCCCAATCAATAAGGAAAGATTTGACTTTGAACTCAGAAAAACTGAGCAAAAGTAGAAAATTTGTAACCATGAAAGGGTCTTTCTTTTTGCCTAGGATCACTTATGCTCCATGGGGATGAGGATTTTTGCAGATTTGTTACTGTCGTATCTCCAGTACATAGAATAGTACCTGCCATATGCTGGGTGCGCAAATGTTTCTTGAAATGAATTATACTCAGAGTGATTTGAAGATTCATAATTTTACAGATTATAGGGTCCATGTTTGTTTCTAACATTTCAGACAATCATTTCAGATTGTTCTTTAAGTAACTTACCATAAAACTATGCATAGTAACAAACTGGTGCTGAGCGATATTATTGTTGTTGTTAAATGCCGTTGAGTTGATTCCGACCCATAGCTACCCTGTATAGGGTTTCCAAGGAGCAGCTGGTGAGGTTGAACCACCAACCTTGCAGTTCAAATGGCTTTGCAGCTCTGGGTTCATTAACCCAGAGCGCCACACCAGCAATCCTGAGCTATATTATTGTAGTGTTATTAAGTGACATCCACTTGGTTCCAATTTACAATGACCGTGTACAGTGTTTCTGAGGAGTGGCTGGTGGATTTGAACTGTCGACCTTGTGGTTAGCATATCAGTGCTTATCCTACAGCACCACACCAGGACTCTTAGACATTTGCAAACTAAAATGTCTTTGGATAAATGGTCTTTTAACAGCATTTATCAGTTTAGTAAGTAATGAATGTGGAACTGGATATGCATTTGATGTTCAGAACAGTTTCTTAAAATGCACATTAATATTAACAATTTGAATATCTGTTGTTCAGTCATCAGGTTTTTATAAAACCTGTGCATGTGTTGCTTTAGAACCTGAGACAGGAGGCAGACAGACTGATTTTTTTGCCTTGCCTGCTCTGTCTCTATATGGGGAAAGGCGAGGGAGACTAGCAAGGGAGGGCAATAGAAGGACTATGGAAGGTGTTCTGGAATAGCTTTATCCTGCTTGGCACCTGGCCTAGCAGCAGAATAGCCCTCTTGATACCCTGAAATGTTTGTACTCGAAACAAGACATGACTTCTGCCTTCCTGTTACCAATGTCTTTTGTAGTTCATGTGGTGCTAGAGTGACTGGTATGGTGTTGTGGGTTAATGAGCTGCACTGCAAAGTCGATTTGAATCACAAGGCTGGTGGTTCAAGTTCATCAGCTGCTCTTTGAAAACCTAACACAGGGTCACCAGGGGTCAGAACAGACTCGACAGGAGTTAACAACAACAACAACAGCGTGACTAAGAACTTTAAGCCCAGAATGAAAGTTGAAGAAACTCCATCTAAAGTCTGGAATAATGTACCTCTGCTTTGGTAAAAATTACAGTACAATTCAACTTCTATACCCAACTGAGGCCCTGCTGGGCACTGAGGAAAGTACAGTTGTGCCAGCTCTTGCTGCTATCAATAGGGCATCTAGAGGTAGTTAGCAGGGTTGTTGTTGTTAAGTGCCGTCGAGTCGGTTCCGACCCATAGCGACCCTGTACAGGGTTTCCGAGGGTGTAAATCTTTACGGGAGTAGAAAGCCTCATCTTTCTCCCGCAGAGCGGCTGGTAGTTTCGAACCGCTGACCTTAAGGTTCACAGCCCGATTCGTAACCACTACGCTACCAGAGCTCCTAGTTAGCAGGGTAAGGAGAGGAAATTACTCTTGTTTTATAAGTTGTCCAGGACTTGATTAGTATCCTAAAAAACATAAAGTTTTAGTGATGCCAAGATCTCTAAAGAAGTTCTAGTTTCACCCTCTTATTTCACAGCAAAATAAAGGGAACTTCCCAAGCTTGAACAGTATCAACAACAGCTCTTGGATGAGAACATGGGTCTTGTGTCCTCTTGAAAGGATTGTGTTTCAGCGAATACATAGAGGAATCTTGGCTTCGAAACAATAGATAGGTTTTGTCTTGTCTTTCAACCTATTTTCTGTTCTTCACAGATAACATTTGACAACAAGGCCCATAGTGGAAGAATTAAAATAAGTTTAGATAACAACATTGCCATCAGAGAATGTAAAGACTGGCACGTATCTGGATCAAGTAAGTAATACAACTTGACTAGTTTTCAGAGTGGTTATTGAATTACCAACATTAGGATATATATATATATATATGGAGTCCTGGTATGGCTTTGTAGGATAAGCACTGGACTGCTAACTGTAAGACTGGCAGTTCAAACTCACCAGCCGCTCCTTGAGAACCCTCTACAGGGTCACTATGAGTTGGAACTGATTCCACAGCACTTAAGAACAATGACAATATGTGCAGTTAGTATCAAAGGAAAGAATAAGACCATTCTCCAGTCGCTAATTCTCTGCAGGTAGATAAACTCATTGCAGATAGCCGACATTCCAGGCAATACAAAAGTTATTAATTCAGATGGATTTCCCTACCTTTACCATGTGTATGCACTTGCCTTCTTGTCACCAAAGACCTAGAACTCACAGTCCCCACTGCCTTAGTTACCTACTGCTGCTGTAACTCTAATGTGACAAATCGTTACTGCTGTTGTTAGGTGCCGTTGAGTCAGTTCAAATTCATAGCGACTCTATACACATGACGAAATACTGCCAGTTCTCACAAGGGTTGTTATATTTGAGCCTATTTTTGCTGCCACTATGTCATGCCATCTCATGTGGGGAGGGCGGGGGAAGAGGGAAGCGCTCCTCTTTTTTCCATGACAAGTGGGTAGCTTTAAGGATCAGATATTTATTTTCTCACAGTTCTGAGAAAGGCTAAATGCCCAAATCAGCATCTTGGCTCTGTTGAGTTCTTCTGTGAATCTTTCTCCTAGTTTCTGGTGTTTGTGATGATTTCTGGTGTTCTTTTGCCTGTAAAAAAATCCTCACATGCCATCAGTCTTACCTTGTGTGTGTTTCCATGTCTATTCTGGTCTTTTTATAATTCAGAAGTGATCAGGTATTGTATCCACCTAACATTGGTATGACCCAAGCTGATTGATTACATTGCATTAGATTGCCTTATGGAAGGCCAAGTTGTTATACTACATTACATGGAATATATATGGAAGATCATTTGTTCTGTCCAAGATAGCTGATTTTGATCACATGTCACTACTCTATGACAGTAACTGACTAGAGTTTGGTTAAGCTACTGAAAATCATAATCTAGCCAAGTTGACACATAAATTATTCACCATACTTACTATACTTACTATACTTACTTATATGATGAAAAACATGGTATCAGGATTGGAGGAAGACTCATTAACAATTTACTATATGCAGATGATACAACCTTGCTTACTGAAAAGTGAAGAGGATTTTAAATATTTACTGCTGAAGATCAAAGAGCACAGTCTTTGGTATGGATTACATCTCAATGTAAAGAAAACAAAA